AAGACTTTACTCTGCATAGGTTGAGAAGTAACATTTCATTTGAGCAGCCCTCATGAAAGCAAGAGGGCCACTTCCCAGGTGATAAATCACTGCTGACAGGGGGCATTACACGCACAAACGGACCGCCGATGCCGCACCTTTACAACAATTAATTAGCTGTCTGACACTCATTTATCACTGCAGCAATAAGGTGAAAAAAATCAAGAGTTTATTAAAGCGCCACTTAATTTCCAAGAGCTAAAGGCCAGACGCTGAGACACATGACATAGACAACAGAAGCAACATTCACACTCTTACTTCATCTTACAGTACAGCAGAGATCAAAATGTTCCCTCAAAAGCATCACTGTAAACAAATGTTTGGCAAAGAAAACACAGTCTCATGTCTCATGGCTACGTCACAAATCAGATTTCACAACACAAGATATGATCCATGTTTAAGAAGCTGCACAGGCACAAAACAAAAAGACAGTTCAGCCTCTTCAATAAATACTGTACACATCATCATACTACCTAGCATTCAGACTTCTGTAAGATCACATCACTTTGTTGGAAGTTGTGTAATATTTACCTAATCTATGCAAATACATTGTCATGCATCTTAGAGCTGAAACAGAAATGAGCAGCAAACAAATTTTCTGCAGCTGCTTGATTCCTTCAGCTAACTGGGCTGGTCTGATGGCTCCCTAAAGCATGCATATATAGGTCCAGAGCGGGGAACAGAGTGACATGAGGCCAAGATGTGACTGCTGTCATGAGCCCAGACAGGCCAGCGAGTGGGGACATGGAGACCAACCAGGCCACGTCTCTGAGGACGGGTCTGTTCAGCTGTCACTTCAACATATTGACACACTGGAAGACTTCTTCATGTTCGATCACTCTAAACACATTCAGACTAATATCTAAATGCTGCTGCTGCTAACTACAACTAACCTGCTCCTACTGCAGTAGCATTAGTTCAGTGCTAAATGGACCACACTTTTCTTTTCTTGTGGTCCTCAGCATACTTCAAACTAAATCACAACACAGGAAAACCTAGAAAGCCACGGCTCAAGTGGTCTAATTACTCATGCCGAGTTGCTGCGGGTGATTGGCATTGGAATTCAATCAATAATACTGATTAGAACTGATTAGAAGGTCAGCCAGGCAAAAAAAGGCAGAAAAATCTCACGTTGATTTTAAAGACAATCAGATTTTGGCAGAGGGAGCGAGGAGAGGATTGAGCTGCTGAAAAAAATGTTCAGCAGATGGACACTATGCTGCTTTCTCACTGTCAACCAAATCCAGCAGACTGCAATCCAAAAAGTCTCTCGTTAACAGGTTTTAAGGTGAAACAACAATCTAAAGCCTCTGTGATCTACCTATAAATGAATAGCATCAGAGGGTAAATCAATAACTCTAACACAATAAACATTTTCCTGCCAAATACAATTAATTATATCAATAAAAAATTCCTTTACCAACAGAAACAAGTATTGTACTAAAGAAATTTTAACACACAATAGTCCACTAAGATGCTGTCAGTATGTACAAGCCCCAAACTACCAAAAGAATGAAAATAAATTTCAGCATTTAGGGTTCAGATCCAAAAGTTCAGGTAAAATTGTTGGTTGGACAGCTGCTGGTCCAGTTTGGTTCAGACGTGCTTGGCGAAGCGATGGGAAGGTGTGGTTCTTCCTTCTGACTTGAGCCTCAATTTGCCTCTCTGTCTCTAAGCCAATGGCCATCAGTCCCGACATTTTATGGGAGGTGAGGTGGCTGCCCCGGCTCTCACAACCTGTGCAATGCAAAGATAGAAAGAGTCAGGGCAGCACACCTCACACCCTGACCAGAAACCCTCCAAACTAACGCTGCATCAAGAGCATTCAGCAAAACATCGACAATATGTAGCTTCTGACTGTAGTACTAAATAATCATAGTGGGATTCTTACTGTTGTCTGTCTTTAAACATCACTGTGTAAAATTATGAAACATACATATTAAAGGTACAGTTATGAATGGAAAACACGTCCTTGTTGGTCAAATAGCCTGACCTCTGACTCTACAATACTTTAATGTACAAATAGAGTTCAAGGTCAAAGACTAAAAGGTTCTGAGGTTCTATGGCTGCACAGGAAGCCCAGAAAATCCCCTGCCCCCCCCCCCCCCACACACACACACCGTGGTTGACATTTGATAGGGAGCATTTGTGCTGTTTGGTTTTCCCCACATGGTTCCATTCATTAGGGAGCTGTACTGTGGGCTCATCTGTCCCAAGAATATTGTTTCAGAACTACACTGCTCAAAAAAATAAAGGGAACACTCAAATAACACATCCTAGATCTGAATGAATGAAATATTCTCATTGAATATTTTGTTCTGTACAAAGTTGAATGTGCTGATAACAAAATCACACTAAAATCATCAATGGAAATCAAATTTATTAACCAATGGAGGCCTGGATTTGGAGCCACACACAAAATTAAAGTGAAATGTTCCCTTTATTTTTTTGAGCAGTATATTTTGTTTATCCAGAGGAAACTTTGCAACCCTGAGCTATGTTGCCACAGCAGGAAGGAGGAATTCTGCTGTCAACCATTCTAAAAAATAAAAATAAAAAATCACCTTTGCTTTGTGTTTTTTTCCCTAATTATCCTGCCATGACTTTCAACATACTACCTCAGGCATGTACAGTCTAAGATGGAGTCCTTACACTTGTGCCGAGCCTTAATTTTAGATACATGAGATAAAACCTTTTTAAGAATGCGCAGTCAGCCGAATATAACTGGGCTTAGATTGTTTCGAAATGGCTTTGCAACCCTTCACAGACTGAAGGGAAGCTAGATGACCTATATCTGACCTCGGCTGATGCCTTCTCACCTTGACCTTGTGTTTTCGTACGTTATACATCAGTAAACTGCTAAAGCTCTATCTTCCTTATAGGTTCTCCAACTTGCTGATCACAAAAGTTAAGTCATTTTAGAGAATATTAAAGAGCTGCTTATTCTAATTTGTCCTGTGATGTAAATCCTTGGAATTAACAGAATCACTCTGACTCTCTTAACAATGACAGTAAGTTTATCTACTTACCAAATCTACAACAAGTCTTCTTTCTCGGACATAAGTCAAAAGAAAATTAGGGATGCATTGATTGCAGTTTTCTGGCCGATTCTGATTTGGCCAATACTGACTTTTTTTTGTCTAAAATGTTTTTAAAGATAGCAAGAAAGTCACTGAGTTGACAACAGTAGGGTGACTATTGTTAAATGCAAATGTGCAGACATAATCTGGTGGGCCGGTCTGTCAGTCAAATGTCTCTTACCAAAGAGACATTTGACTTCTCCTCTTCTCTTACTGAAGAGGAGAAGAGGACAGTGGTTGATTTTTAGACCTTTAGAGGTAGACAAGACCAGCTTCACATATAAGTATTGGTTGATCAGTGATCTCCCAAAATTAGGTAAATCTGAGCTGATTTATAGGCACACCCATAAAGAAATGTCCTCTCCATTTGAGTATTCCATGACTGGATGGTAAAAGAAAGAACATTCACAAAATTGCAAAGCTGAAATCTGAAAGTCAACAACAAGAAAATACTTGAAAACTCTAATAAATAGCTGACAGGAAATGAACTCATTTGAATGGCACTTAAGTTCTTATCAATGTGGAAAGACAGAGGGAGCTTGTAATAAAGGAATTACACAGAAACATAATTACTTAATGAAGGACATGGAAAACTTTGGGAAATGTTTGTACAATACAGAAAGAAAGTATGAAAACAAGTCAAAAACAGCAATATGGAGCTATACAAGGTAATTTACAGACATAAAACAGAAAAATGTTTATTTTATTCATTAAATATTGATAACAAAAGCCTAACAGAGGTATGATAAATCAATGACTAATTTAGTGTAATCTGTAATTGCTTTGCCTTCTGCTATTCCTCAACTTCACAAACTTCATCAAAAAGCCATTTTCTGAAACTTATTTATCTTTCAAAAGTATGTATCTTACAGTTTTGCTTACTAAACTAACCTCACCAGTCACTAGCTTTATGGAATCATAATTGACCATTTTCACCTTAAAATAATCAGGAGCTGGTGGCTTTCATACAATCTGGTGAAAATATCGACACATTAAAAAGCATCTTGACAGGTTAATGAGAATGTACTATTTTCCAGTCAATTTAGGGGTTCACTCAAACATCCCTATGTTTTAAACTGAGAAGATATGTTTAGTTTTTTAGTAAGTGATGGTTACCGTCGAGCAATATTTCCCCGCTGTTGCTTTTATCATCAAAATGTTCTCTCCACTCTTTGAAAGCTTTTACAACTTTTACTAAAATCTGTTATCTCATTTGAACATAAAGAGAGGAAAATGTCCAACCAACTCTAATGAAAAAAAATAATAAAATAAAAAATTACAGTTTTTCATGTCATAACGTTTCTCTGTTACCATTTAATAAGATACAGAGAGGCAATGAATGATGGTGAAAAAAGAAAGACGACTCCTCCTCACACACCAAACACTTCAGTATCACTACAACTGATAACAACTGATAACCTGCTTCAGGAAAAATAAAGGTTCTGCTCAACCCAGAGTCTGGCGTTATGGTTTAAACCTAAAATGGTCACTACATGACAATGTGCTATCAAGGCATATGCTGGGTTTCAAAGAACAGCAAAGAAGAATCCTATTGATTAGATGCCAAACACCTGATACCTCAAGAGAGGAGGGGAATTAATTGTGCTATTCATTACACCTTAATCAAGAGAGCAAATGTATGTGGCAGGTCAATATAGGGTCCTGTGGAGAGGACAACCTCAGCCCCCACACTCTGCACAGCCCAGCGGCCGGAGTCTAATGAAGACTGAATTTTAATCATCAGGAGGATATGGCTCCTCCAGGAGACACACACACACACACAAATATGGACCTCTCAAGGAATGCACACTCACACACATACACTCACCATGTGGAATAGCCCAAGCTGGTTCTCTTATACAGACACACACATTGCCTCACCTCACTAGATTTTCATTGTCGCCTGGTCCTTTGCAAGTCGAACACTCGGTTCTTGTGTCATCAGCTTTGGGTTTTTTCTGCACCGCAGACTGGCGTTGTCTGCGTTCCCGTGGCAGTGGTTCCTATGGAAACACGGCTGATTAGAAATGAGAGCTGGATGGGTGCTTGTTTGAGCCTTGGAAATAAAAATGAAAGCTAAAACTGTGGAGAGAGTACAATGTGCTGAAAAGTAGAACTCCTTCACTTCCAAATCATACACAAACATTTCTGGCTTCAAAACCAAACGCTGGACCTGTTCTTCTTTCAGAGAGGATCCTCAGGGTCGCCAGCATGGTGGTGTGTGCTTTGGAAGTTTACTGAACCAGTGTAAGCATAAGACATGAGTCCCAGCAACCACTAGAACCTCTGCATCATGTGGAGAGTATTTGAGCAGTTTTCTGATGAAGTGAGCAGAGAATCCAAACATTCACCATCTGTCACTTGATCCATCATTTTTATGTAAAGAAAACAAGATTTGGAGAATTACATTAATGGGAGATTTGCATCTGCCAAGCAAAATTATGTAGTCTGAAGAAAAAACTAGTGAAGAAAAAAAAGAAAACAAATCAGAAAATGATATATCTACAAAGATTTGTGAACAGCAGCAAGAAGAAGTGACTAACCTCCACTTTCTCTTCTCGTTCTTCAGAGATAGGAACTCTTTTTCTCTTCTGGCCCCTGGTTCTCTGTGAAGCACAAACATTTCACTTTAGCATAGCGGTTCTCAACATGGGCGGTACCGCCC